CTGGATGTCTCTGTCTCCCTTTTTCCCTGGGATGACTTGAGAACATCACAAGCCACAGCCTTTATTACTCACTTGAGCTTTGCTTAACAAAAAAAAAAAATAATACAGTCCTTGAACTTTCAAAAGGGAATAATAAAGGATTGCCACCCACAGCCAAATTGAAGTGTAAAGTTCATGACTGGGATGTTTTAAACATTTGGAATGTCAAGCAAATCGTGTGTGTGATTTGTACAGTCAACTGTGACAGTCTTCAAACCCTTGATACACCAATTAGAAAAAGCCCACTGTATCTCTTTCCTCATTAGTTAACACAGTGTTTCCTTGAGGAAAAGCAGGATTTTTTGCTCTTTCCTACCTTTAGTTTTGTATTTTCACTTGGGAACTAAAGATTTCTGTTCTCCCAATACAGTAAATATTGTCTAATCATTTTAGTAAAGCTCTAGAGATTTTCAGAAGCGACTGCAAAATAAAAATTACAAATTTGAAACTGTTGTTTACTTTAAGGGTGGCAAGAGATAAAAACATTTTCCTGGTTAGATTAGTGTTAAAAATATGTCATTATCATTATATACAGTGTTTGCAAAATATGGGTTTCTATTTTTCCTTCCTTTCACACAATATTGAACGTGTCTATTTAACATTTCCCTTAAAGGAATTCTTAGCTACAGCCTTAAACTGAGATTTTAATAATTAGCTGAAATGATCTATTCAGAGCATGCTCAACATATTGTTTGATGCACAAACCTCTCCCATTTCTTGTCTCAGCTGTTGGAATTCTTGCCTTTCCATTTCCAACTTTTGCCGACGCTCCTCTTCTGTGCGTCTCTTCTCTTCTTCCATTTTTTGCCTCAGCAGCTCCTCAAAGTTAATTTCCAGTTTCCCAGGTACGAGGGATTCTTGAGAAAATGTTTTAAACATTTCTGGTGATTCATCATCCAGCACCTGCTGGGAATGCAGAGATGAAACCACAGCATTGCTCAGACACTTGTGGGACATAAAAGATTTATGTCACATAAACAGGTGACATATTTTGTGGGCATTCCTCTAATATTGTGGGAGGGAATGGTTTGGAGGGGTTGTATTTGACTTTAGCTACAGTGCTAAAACTTTAATGAAGTATTTTCTGCCCTCTAAATGCACCTTTAGGATCTAAAGCAATTCATTCTTGTTTCCTTCAGACCATCATTAAACTAAGTGTTTAAATGTCATTGCTCTTAACACTGAAGTACACAGAGCTGCCATTTCTTTGGAGCAAACTGAATTAAGTAATATTAGCATTTACAGTAAGGAGAACTGAACAGAATTTTCAGAAGAAACTCATCTTGTGCACAAATAGTTTATAAAAGTCCTGTTGCCGGTTTATTGGTTTATAGAACCCACCAGAAGGGCTTCCTCCTTTCCCTGGCCTTGTCTCTGGCTTCCCAGTAGGGTTAGGCTTAGTTGGCTGTTTAGGAGCAGTTGGTGTATCTTACAGACTAATTCCTAGCATGGTAGGGCTTAGGAAAGGCAGTTTTCATTCCTTCCAAAGCAGAGAATGGAAGAAGTAACATTTTCTCAGACTGAAGTGCAGTACGACTAAAATCTGAAGCTGTGTGCTACCAAAATGGCCAGTGGTGACAGTGTGAGTCCTGCAGGAAGGTTAAAACAACTCCTTGCCAAAGCTTCCACTTGTGTGTGTCTGGGCATGGACCTGGACAAACTTGCTGACAGATTGTCCCAGCAGGAATGTTCTGGAGGTGAATGTGAGCTGAGCTCGGGTCCTGGCCCACAGCTCTGAGCTGATGTGCTTTGGGCTTCATCAGGGC